ACTTTCTATGGTTGAATGGTAGAACATGGACATCAATGTTTTATCAACTTTAAAATACTTTAGCTTCCTTAGAAAAAAAGGTACTTCATAACATATTAGACATGTATTTTGATAAGTTTTAAGATGTCCATGTGTATCTCTTGTCATGCGGAGAATATAAGTAGCCTACATTACATACTATTTACATCGCTGTTTGCCTTTAATTTTCCCTCTTTGTTGTGTTTTAATTTTTTGGAGCGTTAATTCTTCTAAAAATTGTTCTAATGATTTGTTTTTCTTTTTTGGTGTTTATACTGCGCACTGTCATTTAATTTGATGCTGTTCCTACCCTTTTAAAAATATAAATGTATTACGTTAGAGCGTGTCTCCACCAAAACGGAATACTGACACTGGTACGCCCCAATTGTATGTCAATTGTGTGTGATTCCATAATTTGATGTTATATCTTGTAGGCCTACTTTTTCTTGAATTACACACATTTAGGGTTAAAACAGCCAATGTTTGGTTTGGTGGACACGCGCCCTAATTTGTTGGGGGTTTTTTCATTCTGTTGTGATACCTTTATTTTTCACATTTTTACTCTCTGGGTGGCTACAAATTATATTTTGGATGCTTAAAACAGAGCACAAGAAATTCTGGTGTTTTAGATTGTTACCTCTATCAACATAATATTGCTATATACGTCGTCACAGAGAGTTGAAAGCTTAAAAATTGATGGCAGCTTTTTTGGCAACTTTTGCCACTTTTTGTGGCAACTTTGGGCAACTTTTGGACAAACAAAAAAATGGCAACAAACGCAGATGCTAGATAAATAAATCATTGATGGTCAAGGTGTGTGTGTGTGGTGTTTTTTAAAAACATTTTAGTCATCTATTTATTTGTTTTTATTTAAGTTGTGGAATGAATGCAAAAGTAAAAACTTTACTTTGTTAGTCGAAAGTGTAGGTAGGTGTTTTTATGCCCCTTTGACACAATGTAGATCATTTAAGAGGCTTCGACCCTGCCTGTCCGAGCTAACAGGGGTTGAAAGAGATCTATACAACCCAGCAGAAAGACCGAGATACTCGATAAATATTCTCGCCACACCGGAGTTGAACAGTGTCCCCTATTGCGTGCTACATCGAAAGGGATAGCAGCAACATCCCAGATTATGAAGGTCTTCGGTGTGCCGTATTCAAGCTAACATAAAACATGTGTCATGCGCATCAATACCTCAGAATCACTAAGTTCTGTCTGACATCTTTGGCCGTTTTGAGTTATTATAAGACCATGAGGTTAGAAACATAATGTTCTATCTACTTTATCAAAATGATAAGATTATTCTAAGTCGTTATCGAAATTTATTCAAAGAATTGCATTCGAAAAAGCTTGGCATTATGTGAAACTCAAAATCTTTGACGTCAATTATCTCAAAACTAGGTATTGAGCAGATAGAATTGTCTAATTCTGAGGTAGCAACATGCTACAAGAGTTTCCAATATAATCCATGCATCCATTTATTATAAGGTAGACCGAGATATTATATAAAATAATTGTAGGCGGTTGTCTCTTAATTATATTTTCAAGGGGGGGGGTCTTTGATTTTCTAAGAAGTTATTTGAATTGCCCGATGTATTTTAAGTTATTCATTTTCATATAAGAAACTTGGGTCGGACGATGTCTATTAAATATTTTTTTGAGTCTAAGAAGTTTGGATTCACCACTGATCCTTCAAAACTTCTCCCGAAATCAACTCTCGCCCGAAAAAAAAACCATAGGTATTTTTAGATATAACACTTCTGGCAAGCTGTTCAATTGTTCCACACACACACCGAGAGCAATAGATCTACATGCAATCATTCTACTTTCTAAATTTTTCAGGAGATAGAAAACACTGATAGTTTTGAAAAAACTGTAATTAATGTTTATATAACTCACTCTCTCTCTCTCTCTCTCTCTCTCTCTCTCTCTCTCTCTCTCTCTCACTCTCTCTCTCTCACTCTCTCTCTCTCTCTCTCTCTCTCTCTCTCTCTCTTTCTCTCTCTCCAAATAATCAAAGAAGATATCACATAAAATGGAATATTGAACTTTACCTTCTGTTGTGCCTGGAGAAAGGCCTGTAACGGCTGATTAACGCCTGAAACTGCATCGATGATGAGAATCACATAAATAGGAGTAAGAGACCGATGTAAAAACATTGTCAAGCCTGGTCAGGTGAGCTTGTAAGCTACGAACTGAGCCGACTGACCGGAACGACATTCAAATAAATCTTTTACGATTGAGAGGTCGAGTTAAGAAGGTCACATGTGCTGCTGTCAAAGGAGTTAATTAATTGTCGCTATGCTCACGCTGAACAATAACGGTATACGGTTTGCTATACGAAGTTAATCCATATAACTGGGTACTTCCCCTCAGTGTAAGATTATATTTTGGTTCCTGGTGTTATGACGAAATCACAATTACGACCGCATCTCTTTTTTTTTTTCCATTCGTCGTTTATATCCTTCTTCCTCGTTTATATTCTTCTTTCTCGTTTATATCCTTCTTCCTCTTCTTCTTCCTCTTCTTCTTCTTCTTCTTCTTCTTCTTCTTCTTCTTCTTCTTCTTCTTCTTCTTCTTCTCCTCCTCCTCCTCCTCCTCCTCCCCCTCCTCCTCCTTCTCATCCTCCTCCTTTTCCTCCTCCTCCTCGTATCCACCATGATACTGACATATAAGGTGCATAGCTCTGATATGCCGAAAAGAGACAGTTGACGGAATGTTAACTATCAGACCTGTAAAAACTTTTTTTTTTTAATTTAAAAAGTATTGAAAGTTTCATCAAACGTGTGACATTTTTCGAGGATCCTTGGAAACATGAGCTTCTGCATCAGCGGGACCAATGAAAGACAGTTGATGAAGCCCAAAGGACGCCAAGTGGAAAGACACGAAAAATGTCAAGAAGCTAACCTAAGATAAAGAAAAGTGAAAAGTGGTTGGGTTTTTTTTATGGTGGCCTTAACACTTGTTTAAGGTGAGGAAGACGAGGATCATGATGGTTCTTTCATTACATTTGTTTTGTTTCGTTTTGTTTTGTTTTGTTTTGCTGTTGGACTACGGGCTACAACAATGCTGTCTATTCGTAAGTTCAACATTATAATAACATCAACGACGCACTGCGGTTGAGAGAAACAATTTCTTTCATTGATTTGCATACATGTGTACAGTCAAACCTCGTTATGCCACCACCCTTAGGTACAACAGTTGGCGAGATGGCAGATGGCGGTGTGAATGCCAAAATACCATGTTTATATAGAGGCGTTCCTTTTCGTACGAGCTGGTGTTAAACGGGACTGGTGGTACAACGGGTTGGGGGGGGGGGGTACAACGAGGTTTGGTTGTATTTATATTTTTACACGTACAAATAATTGAATACTTATTTTTCCCTGAAGGAAGCTTTCTGTGGCTTTACTGGAGCCGAAAAAACCCAGATAGATAAAGTTTAAATTGCACATCACTTTAATAAAAAAATGTCAGTACGATAAGAAAACTAAAAGCTCACAATGATACAACAGATTAATGTGTAAAAACGGCTAAGGCTAAGGCCTTCTGATTAAAAACTTAAATCAGTCTTTCAAAAAAAAGGTCCTTTTTTCAGTTTCAATAACAAGGGTGAGTTTAAGAGGAAGTGTAAGTGGCCATAAGTAAGAAACACTGTTTTGAAATAAAAAGAAAAATTAAAAGAAACAAACAAACAGTGTGTGCGTGTGTTGTTTGG